TTTATGCCGCCTAGTACAAGACTTTCCAGGGGAAAGTGTGCATTTGCGATAGTCTTCTACATAACTTTGAAAGCGCAAACTCCAACTGCATTTGCAATGCAGTGGAAAGTGTTAGGTATCTTCCAGTAGTTCTCATATGTTATTTCAGTTTTCCCTGTAACAAACCCTTCTGAATGCAGATGTGTGGGAGTAAGTAGGGTCTGACAGTCACTCAGCTGGTCCGAATATACTCCGTCTTTTACGAAACCCTAAGATGGTTGCCGTGTTCACGTCAGTCTGCCACAGGTCCCAGATTCTGAACCAGATCGATTCAGTCTGCATCTCACAATCTATTTCTTTAAGACCAATTGTAATACAGTCCTCCCATCTATTCTTAGGTCTCCCGAATGGTCGTATTCCTTCAGGTTTTTCATCTGTAAGTATTTTTTTTTTTCGAAAAGTGAGGTCTAACACCGTGCAGTTCAGAGAGGCTCAACGTTTCAGACTCTGCTGGGTTTTTTTGGCCCACATTTTGGTTCTGAAGACGGAGGCGATATGTTCTTTGAAACGGCGGATACTGCCGAACTACACGGCGTTACAAATCCAGAAGACTGTACTCTTAATATTTTCTGGCTCTGCCATGCTTGCAATGTGACCTGCCTACCACATGCTTCTTGATTTGATTACCATAATAATATTTCATGAAGAGTCTAAATCATGCAGCTCATCATTCTAAAGGTCCCTCTGCTCTCATGTTACGCCATCCTACGTCGCCCTCTGCAATATAAGCAGCGATTAATTATCTGAAAATTTTCCATCGTTTAACTATTTTTATCAAATGACCTTTCGGAGACTCTATTCTGTCCCCGTCTTCAGGTAGATAGCCTACACTGTTGAGCCGAACTGATAGGACTAGTCTATTTGGACAAAGTGTAAGGGCTAGAAAATCAGTAATTATATTGTGATATGTATATCCATTGTTAGGCAACGACTCGGTACACGTACCCGCGGTAAACACGACTCAACAATATGATGTCCGCGCCGCGACCGTTGCTATGCAATGATGCGGTAAACACGCCTAAAACAATAGGGACAGAAGACGTTTTCCGTGGGATCGGTGCAAAGTTATTATGAAGAAATTCAATTGAGCAGCATAGAGTGAATAGTCTGCCTGCCGGGATATGAGCTTGGGAGCAGAGGAATTGAACATAGTTGGCAGTTTCAGGATAATGGTAAGAAGGGAAATACGCTGTGAAAAGAAGCCGTCATGGTAATTTGAAGTGACAGTGAAACTGTTATAAATCCGTTGCCAGGATACGACTAGTGAAGACTGAGAAACCTAGTGCGTGTGTAACAGTGAACTATAAAGTGTGTAGATCAGCGATATCGCTGTAATTGCCTGTAGTTCCAAGTACTATGTATGAGGTGTCAATATATCCAATCATCCAATCCAAAACCCCGTCTATAAGTCACCCCTACACGTGATAATATTAAAGCACCATCGTCACGAACTTTAGGGCCGTTCAACCCGTATTATAAAATTTGGGTGGAAGATGTCACAGTCTTTGTTGTTAATAGCTCTGTCTCCAGTTTTCATTAATTTTCAGGTTACAAATGCGTTTAGTTCCCTTAGTTATAAACGCTATATATCCACGATTGAACTGAGTAAAATAAGAAGAGATGTTAGAAAGGAAAAAACAGTTCCCTTTGTTCTCTCTGGTGTGTTCAGCTCTTCCCGTGTGGAGATAGAACCATTAAGTACAAATTAAGGCAACTACATACTGAACTGTCTGTTACGAGGGACAGTCAGTAAACAGTCCACAAAAGGAAGTAAAACAGCGGTAATTGACGTAATAGGGTTTCTATACGTATCACTAGGTAGCAGCACAGCCCAGCTTCATGAGAGTCATGCTTAGTGTAACATAATTAGAATCGTCAAATCAAGGAGGATGAGATGGGAACGGCAAGCAGCATGCATGAAGGAGAAGGGTAATGCATGTAGGATTTTAGCGGGAAACGCAGATAATATTAAACTGGATCTTAGAGAAATAGGCTGAGTGATTTTATGGACGACAGGGTCCAGTGGAGGACTTCTGTGAACACGATAGTGATGGGAAATTGTTGAGTAGCTGAGCGACTGGCGGCTTCTCAGGAAGGGCTCAGTTCTGCATAATTCGTTAGTTATTTAGTTAACGGGAAGTGTACGCGTAGTACAACAATTCTGGCTCGTTCTGTCTATGTGAGATCTCCAAAAAAGGTAAAGGCAAAGCTATCCCTGTAACGTGCCATGGAGGCCCATAGGGTTGTGAGACGTCGAGGCTCCCACATCTAGCCAATCGGCTCACAGATGGTGGTGAGTTTGCCAGCCTTGCGCGACGGTCGGCCACCCCTTACCCCCAGGAGGATTCCTGGTTCTCATTTCTGTTAGAGGCTGATTGGACCCCAGGCCTGGGATGCGCCGCTGGCTGCGGCTCGAAGGATTAGGTCTATTGAGATATCCAGTAACCTCATCAGGAATAGAACCTGCGACCGTCCGGCTTGTAGCATAGTGTCCAACCAACTACGCTACTAATTTCTCTTCTGTTACATGTCTAAGGTTTTAAAAACCCTTTGTTTAATATCGAGAAGTCGAGGACAGAAAGAACAGCGTGCATGTAAGATATGTATTGCAAGTTGCTGTACAGCTCCTGTTCGAAAGCAGAAACTCATTAGGTGTCCGTGTGAAGCGCCCCTTATTGTTTTCCGATTTGAACCAAACTTCTAATGTGTTAAATTTAATGAAACTTACCTATATCCCAGTTTATGAAAATCCATCCTGCTGTTCTCCACTTTCTGCAAGTGGAAGGACCGACATCACAAATATAATGGGCTAATTTTTGCTGTTTCCTTGCCGACGCGTAGAGCTAAGGAAAAATTATGGGTATGGAACAAAAATCTGGGGCAAAGATTAGAAGAAGTGGGTGCCCTCGACAACAAATCGACTCAATTATGTACTTTAAGTGTGTCCAGTAAAGTAATGTGTATGAAAGTAAGTAACTCACTCAGTGGTTGAGATTAGCTCTTTCTAAGGGGCCCAGCTGAATAGATGTCTTTCTTCTTCACCTGAAGACGGAAACACATCAAATTTCCGAAACGTCGTATGCGATTCAATCCAGCAAAATATTACAACGTAGCTGAATTCCAAAATTCGAATTTCGGGTCGAAAATCTGAAAACTCTGATCGTAAGTCTAATTGGTGTTAATTTAATGGGCTTCGAAGCCCGAAAGATCATAAATAAGGAAGTCATAGATGGATATGAGACTCTTTTGTTTTCATGAGAGTTTAGAGTTAAACTTAATGCTTCACTCCTATCAATCTCGTGTATGCTTCTTGTCAATTGCAGCCTTCAAAGGGAACAGATCAGCATGCTTGGTCAAGTAATTATGAGACACGATGATCATACAATATTGTCACGTGTCCGGGGTCCCGTGACGAATAATAGCGGGTTCTGGATTGAATTTATTGACATTTTATACATTCACACAGTTCGGAACTACGGGCAATTACAGCGCTATCGCTGTTCTACACACTTTCCAGCTCAGCGTTGCACACACACTAGGATTCTCAGTCTTCACTAGTCGTATCCTGGCAACGGATTTATCAGTCTCACTGTAACTTCAAATCAGACGTGAAGTCATCTTCGCACCGTCTGATTACTTTCTTGCCATTTCTGCGGCTGCCAATTCCGAGACTCGACTCACTACTGTTGTATACTCATCTGTACTCCATCTACTACTCCTGTTCTGCCGAACAGTTCTTATATACACTTTGCAGGGACCTCACAGATAACAGCCTGTATTGTTGCCGAAGCCTGTTTACCGCGCCGTTTCCTAGCAATAGACGTCCTATTGCTGCGTGCTCGTGTGTTGGAGGGATGCGTTTAGCGACCCGTTTCCTAGCAGTGCGTATACGCGCTACAATATGAACGCATTACGGATACGTGACTACAGGAAATGGAACCTCATTACAAACAACAGAAATCTAATTAGTCACTGATGTCCTCTTAATTACATTGTATTTGTGGATTTCCCGTTGAATATTTAGTAGCGAAATTCCCATACCTAGCGACGGTTCCCAGAGCCAGCCCTTCCATTTATCTATTGTCACACAATATCCCTTGAAGGACATCTCGAAACCTGTGGTAAGGCATCTCTCTAGATTGGAAGGTGACGTATGTTTGTCCCTATACTTATTTAATTAAACACCCCGTCATGAATCTTCTGGGGGCACGCGGTAGCTTAATTTTTTGAGGCACTACGCTACAAGCCGGAAGGTCTCGGGTTGGATTTCCAGTGAGGTAATTGTATTTTTTCATTGACCTAATTCTTCCAGCCGCACTATGGCCCTGGGGTCGACTCAGCCTCTAACAGAAATGAGTACCAAGAACCTTCCTGGGGGGTAAAGGGCGGGTTGCGCATAAGGCCGACAACCTCAGCGCCATCTTTGAGCCCATTGTTTAGAAAATCTGGGAGCCTCGACGTCTCAGAACCCTATAGGCCTGCACGGCCTGTTTCAGGGATAGGCTTACCTTTTTCCACATTTTAGAATGTTATGCGTCCAGTTCCCAATCGTGTGTTTCTGCTACAAAGAGATGGCCATTTCGGAGCGGATGTTTATTTCGAAACATTTTTTTTTTCTAATGTGACTCGTAAGTACAGAGTACAATGCGGCCTATCGGTTGTTTGATGTTGGACAACCCTGTTCTGGAGGCATATTTTTCTTCTCTTTGGCGAAGGTCAACATTGCAGTAGGCCTACCAACTGAAGATAATATAATTCCGAATGAAATACTGCCTTTTAGTGCTGCCAGTCTTCTGGGTGTATTGTATTAGTTCTGCATGTGGTCTCCATGGAAACGACGTAACGACAAATAGACGAAAATGTTTCCCTGCTTACACTATAAGATGTACGGCATGCTTCAACGTAACATTTCTAATTCTGTGTGTTTCCTAATTGAGGTGATGTGTGTCTGGTTTGCACAGGCCCCTCGTTTCGACGTCAAACACCGCGCCCACTTTCGTCGAAGCTCCGCCGTCCAGTGACGACAACGAGGACGGCCCGGGGCTCAGAGTCGTAATCGACTCCAGGTTCCTCAATGGGTGAGTACAAACCTCACAGCTTCTTATTGGTTACTGTAGGGTCAAGTGTCTTCATTGTACATTGTTCAGACCAATTCGCGTCATCACATTGGTTTCTGTACCGTTGTAGTGCATTGTGGTTCAGTATAATTCAGTAAACACTCTGAAACTTACGAGTATTTACTCAGTACCTCAACATGTTTCGAATCCCAAAGAGCTTTTGTGTCAGTAGCCTTCGATCGCCGTCCTTGAAGTCTTACGATGCATTCTGCAGGTTCAGATCTATCAAACGCACGTTTGTCTCCCACGTGATCTCGTGATCGATGGGGGTTTCTAGTTAAAATTCTGCATATATTACTTGCTTTCACATGTATGCTACGATCGTTTGAATGTCCTTTATTTAATTATTTTAATTACAACAGAATCATTTCGGCTTCTCGGTACGAATTAATCATCGGCTCTCTCGTATTTTATATTTTTCGGATAGAAATATTTTCCAGACGTAGGATGTAAAGTTACGGTAATAAAGAACAGAGATTTAGAAATAAGAACGAATATAATTTAATAAAATGTGCAGCACAATAAGAGGAACATTGAATAAAGAAACAAGAAGAGAGACACAGATAAAATCGTGTGAAGCCATGGCCGTACTTACACATGGATCACAAATATGGACTACAACAAAGAACCCATCCGTCTATTCATCCATCCAGCTGGTCTATGTCTCTACGTATCTATCTGTCTGTCTGTCTGTCTGTCTCTCTATCTATGACTGCACAGCCCCTTGTTGGACCTTGACAGCTTTTTCAGTTTCTTAATCCTATACACAATCGGTAGTACTCCTTGGACGGGGGCTCAGCCCGTCGCAAGGCCGCTACCTACACACAAAACAGAACAGACACTAAATAAACGCACACAGACATCCATGCCGTGAGTGAAATTGGAATCCACGATCCTAGTGTTCGAAGACAGCTCATGCATCAGACCTCGGGGCCACTGTGATCGGCACAACAAAGAGAGGGGAAGCAAAATTTGAAACTGCGGAAATGAAATACTTGAGGATCGTAGCATGAAACAAAAATTAGGGAGAAGTTGGACATTTTAAATCCAAATAATATAATTCTGAAATCCAGATCACAGCGGGAATATCACGTGCAACGAATGGAAGGCAGACGAATTCCGAAGAAACGTTAACATGCAGCTCCAAAATAAGACGAAATCCCCCCGGAACAGGGTAGCCGGGTTATACCCCCAGGCACAGGGTTCCCTTTTTGTCTCCTCTTACGACTCGCAGGGCTACTGTGGAGGTATTCGAACCCGCCTCCATACGGGGTTGGCTCTTCTCAACTGAACTCTTCTTTATAACCACTTTGCACGGATCGAACAGAAAACACTGCTTCCAAAAATATTCCTATTGTGGTGTTTACCGAGCCTTTTATTAGAAACGGGTTCTTCTATTGTTGCTTGCGTATTCGTTGCGGTGAGAATGTGTTTACCGAGCCGTTGCCTAGCAATAGACGTCCGCTCTGACTTCACCATTCCTACTTTCGAGCGGCATGACACAATATTTTCCAGAGCACTCTGTTAGGAAATGTTTCTTTATTCATCCCTAAGAGCGATAGACGCTTAATGTGACAAAAGCAATATGCAAGAAACCGTGAGGTGTTGTTGTGTAAATAATTCGAAATGAAAGGAGAGCGAGGTCACGCAATATACCGGATAAGACCGTTTGATAAGGGAGTTAAGAGTGCCATGTGATCAGGCTGATAACAGCTGTGGGGGAGAAATGGGCAGCCAGTTCAATTTGTATAGTGACTTTGTTCACTTCGTCCAAGTGATACAACAGCCGCCATTGGCTCGTCTCAGCTCAGTTGTTTCCTTATATTCGCAAGTATCCACAGAATGATCTTTGTTGCGAAATGTGTCATTGCGAAGGTTTTAAACGGACGAGAGGCTCCAATTGTACAAGTTTACGATGATTTATAACGTTACTTTTATTTTAATATTTAAATATTGGTGTCAGTGGGACTTGATTTAACGGTTGTGCCAACAATATTAACTGGAATGTTTATAAATTAGTGCTGCGTGACGTGTTGTCAGTTGTAGGAAACGGTCACATTGCGANCGTGAAAACCTCAAAACTTACAACTAAGTATGGAGTTCCCGATCGTCTATATTTCCTGAATATTTATTATATAGTGTTCACAAGAGTGGGCCACTAGATCATATCTCGAAATCAGTCCACATGCGTTTCCTATCTAACTTAATAATATACTTTATCTACTCCTAGGTCTTCCAAATAGACACTTCCATTAAGATTTTTCGACTGAATTTTTACATTAATTTCTCATCTCTGTCATATGTTCTGCATGTCCCGTGTAACCCAGCCTCCATCAATTGGCTACCCTAATAATGTCCTGTGTTGGGCACATGTTGTAAAGCCCCTTATTAAGCTTATACTCGTAGTTCCCGCTCGACACATACCCCTGGGCGCTATGTAGCTCAACACTACACTGGACACTATAACTTTAAAAACTTTAAAACTTGGCATACATAATTTTTAATAACTTTTATAATCTCCTAAACAATTTTTAATACATCTTTCAACATTTTTAATACCTTTAATACAAAGGTCAGCATACTTGTATAACATTTTTTCAGTGTACCCTAGGTATATTTTATACTTCAATTTCAGTACTTACATTTAACTCGAGGCACAATTCTGTTATACAGCATGACACGTTGCACCAAAAATGGATCCATATTATCAGTTCAAAGACCCTACACGTATTCTTATATCACTGTCTGTTGATGGTCCTGTGAGACCGAAACGTGTAGCAGGAAATAAATATCCAATCGTAAAATATTGACTGATTATAAATCACTTTGTTGTGGCCACGGCTAACCTGACTGCACACCGTTATCAAGCATTATGCCCACCCACGTCTAAATTTCTGACTCTACATAGTTCCCCAGGAACCTGATCTCACACTCTGCAGCTTCATTCCTCTTTTAATGCTAGTAACCAAGTTTCGCACCCAAAGAAGAGAACATGTAAAACTGTAATATTATATTTTGGCATCTTGTTTCACATTATTAACTAATTAACAAATGTCTTACATGCATCACTTTTTAAAAATTGTGTTTAAAATTTACTACGCATACATAATTCGCATTTTAAACTTATTTTAAAACGACATTGCCCATTACAAGTTTCCACCGTGCTTGGTCACCATCAGGAGTTTTTGAAATCTGTTCTGTGGACACCGCTGTGATTGTCGTGGTGCTGCATGTCTTCTCCTGCCCCGTTCTGTGTTTAGAGCACCCGAGTGTAGTCTGTAATTTAATCATTAAATCATATTTGTATGTATGTTATCACACTGTAATTACTGCTCATTCTTATAATATTATGATAACCTTGTGGCGGCCATTTCCCGTGTTCCTTACGTAACCGAGCCAATGTAACTTACATGACTTGTGTTGCTTCTTCGAGATTAGTCTCAAGATTTGAACAATTTTGTAATAGGATGTAAAATACTTGGAAAGGGGAGGGACTGTTAGCGTCAGGGGACTCAGTTCGGACGTTACTGAGCAGAGACTCGCACGAAGATCAGTGAAAGCCATCCTGAGTTAACGAAACACTGGAGAAAGTACTGAAGGAAATGTTGCTGACGATTGCTCCTAGCTGTGACGCTCGCGAAGAGAACAGAGAAGAAAACAATGTACAAAGATTGGAAGTCATTTGCTACAGATAAGCCCATGTCTCACTATGCCATTAAGAAGCATGAAGCCACAGAACGCACTGCGCAGACTCAGTCTACCTGCCTTTAAGACCAGGTAAGATTTTTTACTAAATAAGTATTGAAAGCGGTCTTTGTTGGCTTGGTGCGTCATAGAAGTCTGAAAGCGTCGGTGATATGAGTGTTCATACCAATGTGGAATACTGTTAAATGTATTTGTAAGATGTCAATATATGCGTTTCACATGTTGCAGCTAGTTTGTCCTCTCAATTTGACATTATCACTTGGTCATCCAGGTGACGAAGTGTAGATGCTAGCTCGCAGATTGAGTGAACCAATAGCCAAATGCGGGGTAGCAGTGTTACCAGAAAGACAGCCGGGCTGATCACAGTGACCGCGCGATCTAGGGCACGAAATGTCTTTCCCCGCTCGAACACTGGGATCGTGGGTTCGAGTACTACTCGAGGCATGGATATCTGTGTTTGTAGTTACTATAGGATTCTGACGATGGTGTATAACACACTGAGATACTGGGTTTTCGGACTTTATCCATCGTCCTGGTTTTTAAGATAACTAAGAAAAACACGACGTTTCGGAAACTGGATCTGTTTCCGTCCTCAGGTGGGGAAAAACACCTATTCTGTTGGGTCCCTTAGAAAGAGCTAGTTTCAATCACTGATCCATCACATGATGATGAAAACAGATCCAGTTTCCGAAACGTCGTGTTTTTCTTAGTTATCTTAAAAACCAGGACGATGGATAAAGTCCGAAAACCCAATATCTCAATCTGTGTTTGTGTTGTCCTGTATAAGTAGCGGCATGCGGATGGGCTGTCCTACCGACCGTCTGTAAGGGCTGTAGTTCCAGATTTATTTCGGAATGGGAGTAGGCGACAGAGTCTAATCGGTCAAGGAAGAGGGACACGAAATGAGAGCGGCTGAGAATCCGTTGGATTTGAAGTAGTGTACAACAGTAAAATGCTATCAGTCTGAATAGTATGCATCCTGTTGTGTGTCATAAACAAAGCACATAAAATGTATACAAAAGTATGCAGTCTACACAACAACATTCTGTATTTAGAACAAAGTAGATACTATCGTATCAACATAAGTTGATAACTTACGCGAGAAGTTCCCGATGCGCAGGCGTCCCGCACTGCAGTCGCCTCTACCACCAGATAATCACGTCAACAAGTACTTCATTTCCATTTTAGTACAGTTTGAATTTTTATGTTTTAATCTTTAGTCTCCAGTTTGTAAATTTTATTATCTAAGTATTTTA